TGTGTGTGTGTGTGTGTGTGTGTTGTGTGTGTGTGTGTGTGTGTGTGTGTGTGTGTGTGTGTGTGTGTGTGTGTGTCCTCTCAGACTTACTTGCTGCTCTTGGAGAGGCTGTTGATGTCGGGGAACAGTGAGGTCAGGCAGGCGGTGACGAGGGGAGCCTTTTCCTGGGCCCAGGTCAGACAACGCCGCCAGGGGAAGCATGACAGCGGCTTCCTGCTCGTCACTTTTTGATGGAAAGGATTATCCGTCTGCCGTGTCAGCGCCTTCATCTGCACCGCCACCAGGAAACACACCAGGACATGTGACATGAAAGTTAGAGATGCACAATTTGCAAAGCCTGACCTGCTGATTACAATGTTCTATCTTTATAAGAAGTATAATTTTAAGTATGTGCAATCATTATAGTAAAGATTCTTTAATGGAAAAGTTAATTACATTTTATGTTTATAATAAAACATGGATTAGCATTTTTCCCTCACTAAGTTAAAAGACCTTCTTGTTTTCAAAACCTTGTTTTGGCCATGATGTGTGTGTGTGTGTGTGTGTGTGTGTGTGTGTGTGTGTGTGTGTGTGTGTGTGTGTGTGTGTGTGTGTGTGTGTGTGTGTGTGTGTGTGTGTGTGTGTGTGTGTGTGTGTGTGTGTGTGTGTGTGTGTGTGTGTGTGTGTGTGTCCTAGCATTACTATACTTGTGGGGACCTAAATCTGTTTACACAGTCACGTGTGGGGACTCGCTTCCCTTATGGGGACAAATCGGAGGTCCCCATGAGGGGAATCATTAATTTTAGGGTGAAGACTTGGTTAGGTTTAGGGTAAGGTTAAGGGTTAGGGTTAGGGTTAGGTTAGGCATGTGTTGGTTATGGTTAAGGTTAGGATAAGTCTCCAGGAAATGCATGTAAGTCAATGTAATGTCCCCTGAAGTGATGTATACATGGTGTGTGTGTGTGTGTGTGTGTGTGTGTGTGTGTGTGTGTGTGTGTGTGTGTGTGTGTGTGTGTGGCTGCGAGGGTTCTGTGAATACGGTACATGTGTTAAATAGGTTATAATAAACTTTAACACTGTAACGGTAGAGACATTTCCATCGTTGATATTATTAGCTCAAAGAAAGAACATTTGCACATTTGAAAGGTTGAATAGATTATATATTACAATGTTTAACCTATAAATAAAATGCAGACCTAAAACTTCAATAAAACCTGCATTTAAAGATCATTTACATTTTAAATGATAATCTTTATGTGAAAAACCTTTAACTTTTCCTTTTAAATTTGACCTGAGCTCATGGTCCTTTTGATTTCTAGCTTCACCTCCAACTATTTCACAGGACACTTTTTATAAAGCTTAAGGAAATGGACTCCCATCTATAATTGGGTTTAAGGAAGCACCGCCCAGATAAAGGCAAGATAATTGTAAATGTTTGGGGAATAAAACGCTTCTTTTGGAAGAGTTGAGGAACTTGTTTAACTTTGACATCCTGGTCTGACTGACCCGAGAGCGAGAGTGTCCATTCTTAAAAAATAACCAAACAGAAAGGAAAGATTTGTAATTTCACTTTAATTCATATATACTGTATACCTTGTCCTTTAATTAAAACACACACGAGCTCTCCTCTGCACATTATCAGAATGTCTCCACATGAGGTCACTGTGCTACTGAAGGTTACAGCAGGAGGGATGAACCAGGACATCTCTTAAACTAAACTGCAGTAAGAAGAAGACAAAGCATAGATCACTCATCCCGTTTCTGTCACTTTGTTGGTGTGCACAATGACTTCCAGCAGACCCCTCCTCGTTCTTCTGTGGTTCATTCACATGACAATCCCAGGTAAGAGACGGTTTTACACATTTGAGTACAAATACTGGTTTTAAAGCTTTTGAAGGTACAACCACAACTACATCTTTGATTTTGACAATCTCTATAACCGGTGTTCATTTTTACATGTAAGAACAGGAAGGGCGGTAAAAAGTTAACATACAGTCAATTCAACATTCAGTAAAATTGCACAATTTTTGGATAACTCTGTTTAAAAGTAGCAAAAACTGAAGCACAACAAATGTAAGGTCTCATAGGAGGAAACAGCATGGCTCCTTTGTGTTAGAATAATTTTTTAAGTGAACATTTTAACTACACTGTTTTTTTGTTTAATCCATAATGATGTCATTTTTAAGTAAATCTAAATCTTAAAATAACTTCAACTGTCAGGTGAATTATGTAGAAGTACAACTTTCCCATCTATTATCTTTAATAAAATGCATTTACTTTCCTATAGTTTAAATAAATATATAAAACGGACAAGTCAAATCAAGCAATCTGATTGGTTCTTAGCCGTGATATACTGAGCGTATACCACGGGTAGAATTGTAAGTTACTTTTCACAACAAGTCAGTATCCCTCCGCGTCTGAGAAAAACAGTATACCATTGGGCTTTTCCGCTTCGCGTCGGGCCGAACCACGCCCCTTAGCTGTGATATAATGAGCATATACCACGGCCTGTCGTGAGCTATTGCTTAAATATACTCTTTTACTTAAAGTAAAAAACTTAAAAATATAAAAGTACAAAGATGTTGGCATTAAAGTAATTTATAGTAAAAGTATTTGTTGTGCAGTCTGACCCATTTCAGAATAATATAATAAATACTGGATTTTGAATATTGATGCATGAAAGTGTCAGATCTGATAAAGGTTGTTTTAATTACTTTATACAAACTGTTGAAGGATAATTTTGTTATTGATTTATATTTTTGTATTAGCTAAGTATAAAGATGGTCTTAGTCCAAACCAGGTGGGAGAAGAGCCACTTCCCACCCCTGCTCAATCCTGGCATCGTGGCTGGTGTGACTCCACAGCACCATGGCATCTACATGCTGTTTGGACATAATAAAAACTCAACTCTTTTATGAGAGACCATTTTTCAATTAATTATAAAAGGATCATTTATAAATTGCTTGTTGCGTACACTGTAAATGATCAACAACAGTTCTGGTAAGGTAAACCTTTTAGAGGCATAATTATAGTAACCTAGTATTACCCTAACTTCATTCACAGGTTTGTTTGGTTTAAGAGCTGAAAGTAATTTAGAAATAACTTAAAACTTAGCATTGAAAACAGTCTCTTCACGTCCAGATAAACTGTTTATGAGCTTCCTCAGAGAGAACAATATAGCTTACTTTTACTGCTGCAGATTTGTGTTTTGAATGATTTCTAAAATAGATCCTCTCTCCGTCTCTCTCCAGGTTTAACTGAAGGAGCTGGTGCGTTGCCAGACGGTCCTCTGAATGCAGCTGTCGGAGGGAAAGTGATGTTCACCACAACACTGACTCCAGGAACACCATTTCAATCAGTGAACTGGAGATTTGGTGCTAAAGATATATTTACTTGGAATGTTAACAACTTCACTGCACCAGAGTATGAAGGCAGGATCACCTTCTTCATGTCTACTGGATCTCTGGAGCTCAGGAACCTGGCTGAAGCTGACAGTGGAGAATACAGATTTACCATTTCACTACTTGGAGAACCAACAATGTTAGGGACCACAAGACTGAAAGTATACGGTGAGAGAAGTTTCACATGTTGCATATCTTTCTCTGCTGAATGAAAATGTGCGTAGCGATTGAGCAAGTAAACAATGATATAGGCCCTTTATTATTTGCACCACCATCATCAAATAAAAATGTATGAAATGTTGCTTTTTTTCGTGGATGGAGCTTGTAAAAACTTTCAATGTGGAACCATGAATAATCAATATCTCCTCTTAAGATGAAACTTCAGCCACTTCAGTGTTTTCTTCTATTGTAACTTTATGAGATATTTTGTTTTGTTTCACCCACAGAGCCAGTCTCCAATGTGATGGTAACCTCCAGCAGCACAGAGCTGGTGGAGTTCAGCAGCTCCGTCAGTCTGTCCTGCTCCTCCTCTGGATCCTCTCTCTCTTTCCTCTGGCTGAACAGCAGCTCTGAGGTTGCAGGAAGTGACAGAGTTCAGATCACTGATGGAGGATCCACTTTAACTATAATTAATGTGACCCGCTACGACCAGGGACCATTCAGCTGCCGTGTATCTAATCCTGTCAGTGAGGGCACCAGTGCTCCAGTAACCCTCTCCATCTACTGTGAGTAACTCATGTTCATACATTTGATTCTGCACATTGCTTTAAAGTTGATGGTATTATGAGGCTTCAAACTGAGTACATTGTACCAACTGGAGCAGGACTACAGACAGGGACCACAATACTGAACATAAAAGGTGAGGGAACTTTTCAAACTTTGCGTCTCGTTTAGTGTTAAAAAAAAAAAAATACTATTTTACTTAAAGTGTAAGAAAAATATTTTTGAAAAAAATAAATACAAACATTTTGGCATTAAAATAAACTTAAGTAATTTACAGTAAAAGTATTTTTTATGCAGTCTGGCCCATTTCAGAATAATATAATAAATACTGGATTTTGAATCTTGATGCATGAAAGTGTCAGATCTTATAAAGGTTGTTTTAATTACTTTATACAAACTGTTGAAGGATAATTTAATCTATAACTGCATTACATTTTTTTATTGATTTATATTTTGTATTAGCTAATAAAGTAAATAAAGCTGTCAAATAAATGTAATGGAGTACACGATTAAAATACTACAACTACTTCAAAATTGTATTCAAGTACAGTACTTGAGTAAATGTACTTCATTAAATTCTCCCAATATTGAT